ACACGAAGTGTAAGCGGAGAAATTGCCACGTCGAATTAACGCCCTGCCGACCAAAACATCCGTTATCTCTCTCTCTCTCTCTCTTTCTTAGGATTATTTTTATATCAACAGTAAGTCTAATTTATCGTCAATTTTAAACTTCAGTCTTTTTTTTTTATATATATTGATACTTTGTTACTTACTAAGTTTTTCAATAAGAAAACTTGTTCTCTCAATATAATAAGATTAAAATTTTATAAAAATATTCAATTTTAGAAACACTTTTTATGATTTACGGATTGGTAACGCGTAAATTTGATATCTTGGATTCTATTTTTTATAGTTTTTGTATGCAGTATTTTATATACATTTTATATAGTTATACAGTTATAAATACAATTATAAATCATGAAATTTAATTAATATTATTTGTAGTTTGATATTATTGCAAATTTAAGACAATTCACATAAAAAAAGTTATTTTAAAAACAATTGATTTTTGCTTATTTCATCTTCAATATTTTCTTTTTTGTTTTAAACGATTGTATAACGCATTTACTCTAATATTCATAGATATTTATTAATATATAGTTATTTCTATTTCTATGTACTCGTTTTAAGCTATTTGCTATTATATACAAGATTATGGTTTTAATAAAATCTGTTTTTATACCATTTATTATCTTTATATCTTTTTCTCTCTATTTGTGTATAAAAGTGATAGACCAAGCTCGTGTTATTGCAAAGTAACCGAGTTACGAGTAAATAATCCTAACCTGGTAAATGAATTCGAAACTTATGCAAATGAAGGAGATGTTATTCGCAAAGCTTCTCTCTCGTGAGAGAAGCGAAATTTCATTTGCGGGGTGAGACTCCGTAACGGAAGTTTCTTGGATTAACGAGCTACAAAATCAAATCTTTCCTTTCTTTCTACTTTGTTCTTCGTTTACTTTTTAATAATGTGGAATAATACGTATTCTTCTTTTACTCCTTATCTTGTTTTCTTATAACATTAAGAAACTCGAGATACTGTAACTCCGAGACTGAATTTCTTATCTCCTATATTTTTAAATTTTAAATTTGATATATTATATATGCATATATATGTTTCTTTAAATATTCTTTTATAATTCTTTTATAAATCATTTCTCTGTGTGTGTTTGTTTTGACAATATATATTATAAGAAACAGGAGGAAATTAATAGAACTAACAGATCGTGCAGAAAAAAAATCTGCATATTTATGAAGAACTTGATCAAGTTAATTTATACTTGGTCTAGTTGGTAATGTTTTTTATGTCGTTCATTTAAAATACATATATATATACATAAAATTCACTTTTACTCTTTTTATTTCTATTGCAAAAATATCTTAATGAAAGATAAAAGTGAAAAATAATATCGTTATAATAACAACCTGAAATCGTATTTGCACGCGTCTCATGGATTTTAAATGAATATGAAATTCGCGAAATGCGTATTGCACGACAATTTGTTGATTAATTTCAATAAAATGTATATTCGTTTGTTTATTGCAATTTTTTCTATGCATAAATAAATAACACACAAATATATATATATATATTTGAATTGTATTTTCATATTGCCAGAGATCACAAGTATGCACTTATCCGTTAATTTACTTACGAAGAGCTTAGTCGCGAGATTCGCTGTGGAATTAGTCGGAGAACTTGCCGCGGTGGACCACTGTGGGTTAATTAATTCGTGAATGAACGCGTAAACTCGGAAGCTTCATAACTCGCAGGAAGGACACATAAATTCGTCCTGCTTGCTGGTAAACCTTCCATTCTCTTCGAAAGGCCGGACACAGTTGGTCAAAGTTTGATGGTTACGGATTCACTGGAGTTATGAAATTCTATAACATCGGTTATGAAATTTTCGAATAGTTTATTCGGGATTCATAAAATAGGTACATACGTTTGAAATACCTTTCAAGTACTCGTATTATCTTTTACGATTATTATTATAAGACATACGTGAGATGCATTTTACAAATGAAACACGTGTTGTTCGATTAATTATTTTAATAATATTTATTATATTTTAATATATCAACAAAAATATAATAATTTATTAAATATAATATATTATTAATAGTATTCTTTTCTTATTTCTCGCGAACAATGTTATACATTTTCGAGACTCCCTTGACTCTGTCTGAGAGTATAGATGAGTGGAAAGAAAAGAAAGCTTGTCCGAGAACAAGCAAGAAAAGGACTTTGAAGAGAGAAGGGCTAAAAAGGATGAGAAAAAAAGGAAAAAAAAAAAGAGAAGAGAAAAGAAGAGAAAAGCGGAATGTTGGGGAGAACGAGAGCAAATCGATTGATATGCAGAGTTTTTCCAATAAGACTGGAAGGGAGCCATTTTATTTCCGGTCGCCCGATCAGTACCACTCGGTCTCTTCGCGAAACCACTTCGTAGAGAGATAGAGGGAGTGGAAAAAGGGAAGAAATCCTGATTCGTCCCTTCGTCTCTATTCTCTTTTCTCTCTCTTTTTCATACCTATATAGGTATATACATATATATATATAGTACATAGCAATACCTGTGTGTCCGCATACAACGACATGGTCGTCCCGCATGCAAAAGATAGAACGTGCACCGCAATCTGAACGAAATCTCCAAACCCAATTTCCTGGACAGACAGACGGACGAACTGGTGCACCGCGCATCAGACCGCACGCGGTACAGACTACATCGATCTCTGTGATGACGTTTTAATAATGCATCGATGCACATTCTTCTCGCTCTCCGACGCACGCCAGCACCATTCGTTCTCGATCGTTTCCTGAAATAATCAAATTCATCCGATGGTTGTATGCTTGTATATGTATATGAATCTATGTTGTATATATATATACATATGTATGTATGTATGTATGTGTGTATTTACGTATGTATGTACTACGAGTATGTAGATACGTACGGGAACGTTATGTTCTGTAGAGAAGATCTTGATTTGCGAGAATATACGTACGTGTATATGTGCGAATTGGTAGATATGAATTGTACGAGGTGAAAAGAGAGAAGGAAGGAAAAGACGAATTATTGATTTTTATCTTGTTCATGACTTGACAATTGTAGACTTTACATTTTACGCTAATCAAATTTAAATATGTTAAATGAAAAACAAAATAAAACCATCGAAATATGTCTCGTTATAAATAAATGAATATAAACGATTATAAATATTGCAGAAAAGATAATAGAAATAACATTTGATTTGAAATAGATATATTAATATCTTAGAGAAATGAATCAACCATTAGAGGAATTATTCTCGAGTTCGAGAGTTCACCGGAGAGATATCTGGTAAAGCTAATCAGTTGTCGATTCAGGTAATTTTCACACAATTGCATTAGAGTATGCTTAATTAGCTTCCTATTCTCGGACGTCTACCTTACGTCTGACGTTATCGATTTCTCCGGTTACAGAGCTAATATTCGCATTGCTAACCGTTCCAAAGATAGAAAGACAAATAGAGAATAAGATAGATAGAAGATTCTTTTTCTCTCTCTCTCTCTCTCTCTTTCTCTTCCGTGTTGCGTACAGAATTACAGTGAAAATCAACTGCGGAATTGACGTAAGACACATTGATAATGTAGGATAATTTAACGTTTGAAACGCTATTTCCGTCTAATGGCTCGTACTAATTATTGTGAATTTCCTATCAACCGTGAAAATCTGTCTTGCGTGATAAGAGACCAGGCGGAGGGGGAGGATTAGAAATAGAAATAGGAATAGAGAAAAAAACAAGAGAGAGAGAGAGAGAGAGAGAAAGAGAGAGAGAGAGAGAGAGAGAGAGAGAGAGAGAGAAAGAAAATACAACATTAAGTAGAGCCAGTATTAGGTGCTTCAACAAAACGAATTTAACGGACGTTTAATTGCTTCGTCTCGATTCTGTCATTTGAAAATTAAGTGCCAAGCGTAGTTATCGATTTCCGGTTTTATCGAGGATGATTACCGAATTCGTTGCTCCAGAAGCATCCGAAGATAAAAATCGTTCTTCTAGCATTGATCCACACGAGTTCGTATTTGACGTAAATTAAGGTTGACTAATTAACACGATTGTTGAAATAGAATAATTATGAACAAGATTTTTCTCCCTGATTCGATTCTCGATTTTGATATGAACTATATTTCCGGTTGAATTAGCAAGTGATTTGACTCGATAATTGATATAAGTTTATCGTATTATGTTTAAAAATGAGATCACGAAATGAGATCGTTATGTGTGTATAAAGATGATGAATAATTTTCTATCACGACGATGCACGGGGTTAAAGAACCGAGCTACGGTTTATCGAATACGAAGTTAATTATCGGATTCTCCTGGTAGGATTCTAAAATAATATTCAACGTAATAAAGTCGATGGGTCAATGTGCCCATCACTTATAAACCATGTCTTCCGTACTCGTTTCTATATATATATATAATATGTGTGTTATATACGTATTATACATGTATGTGTTTCGTATAATTCTGAACTTTTGTTCCCCTCGTGAAACTTTTTATTAAGTAATAATTTTGCCGGATAAATATCGCCGTTCCGAGGGCAGAATCATAAGTTCATCGACCATGGTAGATTAACACGAACACATATATATATATATACGTCTCGTAATTTTATAAACGAGAATTATCTATTTTTGGAACGAAACTATTCGTCGAGAAATGATTTTCACGGAAAGATAATTGTAACACAATCGTGTACAAATTATTTCCATCGAGTGAGAAAAAGTTCGAAATGGAATTTGATATAATTCCAGAGATATTGTATATTTATTCAAAATATATATTATTAACGTTAATGCGATCATTGTGGTTAAAAGAAATCACCCTTATATGATTAATAATTTATAATAACATATTTTTTGTCTATTTTATAAATATTAAAATTTGTATCTTTCTATCTATGTATATTTTGCAATATAAAATATAATTATAGAAATGTGTTTTATTAGAACGGATAATAAAAATTTTAATGTGATCTGTTTCAGGTGAAAGTCATGCTAAGGGTATCTCCAGGGGATGGTGGTAGTTTCTTCAACGCCGATAAACGAAAAAAGCAAGTAACTTTGGTTGATCCAGCATCCGGTCAATCATCTTCAGCTGAAGATCGTAGGCCAACAGTTGCAGCACCGAAAATGTTCGCGTTCGACGCTATCTTCACGGAGGAAGATTCTCAGGTAAATAAAAACATTCATGTTAAAAAGATAGTGAACATTCTTAAAGTGAAAACTCAATATAAAAAAAGAAACCTCTTTTCAACAAGATAAAGAGGGGGGGGGGAAAGTTTGTTAAAATGCAAAATCTTCTATTTTCTTTATCTCTTAAAAAATATTATTTCTTAAGAATCCGTCCGGTCAAGAAACAAAATGGATTCTCGATCTTAGAAGTATCCTCTTGACGTTCCCTTTTATAAATACAAACGTTAATATCGACGCTAGTTAAATTTGTTTGCTACAAAAATATATATATATATAAATCTTTATTTTTCTTTCTATTTATTTTTTTCTATCCCCTTTAAAAAAAAAATTTCCTCTCGTTTTCTCTTCATACCTCTTCTTAGAAAGATTTCTCTCGTTCTCTCTCCTCTCACTTTCTCAATTCTTCAACGACCTCGAACGACCTCGAACGTTCAAGATACAGGCAGAAACTAAAGAAGGATAGATAGAGTTACAGAGAGAGAGAGAGAGAGAATGATAGAAAGAGATAGAAACAGAGATGAGAGGTGTACGTGCCTCGTCGACGACTTACGTTCATCCGAGAAACGCGAGAGACGTCCCTGCCGGGCGCATAACTAAACTAATTTCCCGACCTCTAAACTCCACCTCCGACAGGAAAATCCATCCCCTTAGGCAAGTGTTGCTCTTTGCCCTAGACACCCTCTTTCTCTTTCTCTCTTCCTCTTCTTATTCTTCTTCTTCTTCTTCTTCTTCTTCAACGCACAACTGGAAGTAATTCTAGCTGTTCAGGTAACGATGCCCGATCTTTTACCTGATTTCCGTTTTCTAATCGTATAAAAGTCCTTAATCCTTTCGCATCAAATGTTTTTTACTCTCTATTCGATATCTTAACTTGTTAAATAGTGGTTGGTAACTTTGAAAAGAAAATAACGAATAGTTTTATCTATCTTTACGAAGGTCCATCGAAATCATATTTATTTGCAATTGCAAATAATGAAATGCATGTTTGAAATGTACGCAAAGGAATACAAAGAAAAATATAGAATGGTGCTTTGGTGGTTGTATATCGATACATTTCGATATTCCAATGTTCCCAAATGATATTACCAAACGTCGGATTCAAATGAACTCACTCAAGAATACTCGGTTTTACTTTAGCAATATCTTTCTGTTCTCAGTTTTGTTCTTCTTTCTTTTTCTACCCATGAACAACATTTTCTCTCTCTCTCTCTCTGTTACCCTTTCTGGTATCAGTCGACGACAACGAGAATTCTCGAGGGACTACCCTAGCGTTTCCTATCTTTCTCTTTCTCTCTTTCCACCCCTTTTTTCCACTTTCCAAATTCTCCACGTTCCTGACCGTTTCAGTGTTCGTGTTTAGAAGAACCATAGAAACTAATCGTTTGATTCGATCAAACGTCCATCCGGCTTTAGCCGATTGCCATCGAAAAACACAATGGGCTCTTTCTCTTTTCGCCGCGTCTCTGTGTTACCCTCCTCGGTTCCTCCCCTTTTTTTTTCTCTCTCTTCTCTTTCTCCCCGTGTACGTCGGTACCGGTATGCCCAGAGTACGAACGTGCCGGAGGCTGGACTTCAGGATCACCATGGGATGAGAGACGATAGTGGAGTAAAAGTACATGAGAATGGTACGGGTTCTACGTCCTCCGGGACCTTTATCCTCTCTTTTTCATTTTCACTCTCACTCTTACTCTCTCTTTCTCTACCCCTATCTCTCTGGTTGGCTCAACGTAGGTTCGTTTGAATTTTTTAAGAGTTACCATCGACGAATCGACCTGCTTGTTCATCTTCAAACAGCGTTATATTCCGACGTCTTTTCAAAATTTGACGGTTCGTTCGACGTCTAAATCGATTAATCGAGAAGTTTTACAGAGTTAGAAAAATTCTCAAGAAAAAATATAAAATTGTTTCAAGGTTTTGATTTTTCCTCATGTAGAGGGATTCTAGTCGACTAGACTTATTATTTGTTAGGAAAATCAGTAGGTGTAAATTGATCTAATTATGCTAAAGGATAAATTAAACTCTACTTGAATTATGTTTAACGGTAACGTATGTATCTCTCTCTCTAGATCTTATTTACCTTGACACAGTAATCTCATGGGAGTAATATTTTCAAACTCGGTCAGTAACAATAAAAGGAGGCCGGATGGAGGTTAATGGTCGTTAAACGGTCGCAATATGACATATAAACGACTAAGAATTGTTACGATGTCTAACTCGGTATGCTTTCTTTATCTTTGATCAACGTGGTTTTATCTATTAACAATGAATACAGGATCGATACATGATTAATCCTATAATTTAGTTGTTATATAACCTTTTATAGTTAGTATACTCGATTAGATAGATTAGATTATCGAATTTGAGAAAAGATATGGACCGTTAAGTGATAAGCCTATTGGTTTACGATGATCATTCGATATGGCATTGTAATATTATACGAGATAACCCGCATTTCTCCTAGCTGTCAAGGACACCCAAGTTACGTTTCTCTCTTAAATTATATAAGAATAGATACGCGATCGTAGATATACATCGAATGTGTCCTATACTAGTTCCCCTATTCCATATTCCTTTTCAAAGAAAGAAAAAGAGATAGTAAGAAAGGAAAAGGGGATTCCTCTTTGAAGAAGTTTTTCTTTCGGTTAAGTTGTATGGAAATTCAAAGGGGGAAAATAAAAAAGAGAAGGAAAAAAAAGAGCTTTTAAATCGAATCAACTTATACGAGTTCGTACGTCGTTAGATCAGCTGAGAGATTAAATCATTTCCTTTCGATCATTTCTTCACGATCAATGTCCAGTAAAGTTTTCTCATAGATTAAACAAATATAAAAAAATTACAAATGTAACTAAGAAAAAACAAAACTTGTTAGTTTCATTCTTTTATGTTCTTAAATGTCCTGTACCTTCGAAAGGTAACACACACAGAGACAGAGAGAATGAGACGGACAGAGAAAGAGAGAGAGAGAGATAGTTCTGCCAATAGCCACGTACATAAATGAATCCCGACCGAATTAATCGAACATCCGTCTCAATTACTCGGAGCTCCGTTCACGTTCACGTTCACGTTCACGATCACGTTCAAATCGGGATCTATTTCTAGTGCATGTACGTATACATATATAGGAACATGGTCATACATATACAGGTACACGCTTAGGACAAAGATAGACGCATAAGCGTCTCGAATAGCTGCTATAGTAGGCTGACAATTCCATTCCCGGCGGCGATCCTACAGGACAATGCACCCTGCCTAGGATAATTCACTGGAGCCATTATGCCTCCGTCCGGACAAGGGCTTTATTATTGACTTACGACTAATAGTCACGCTGTGGATTATGCGATCGTGCATCTGTGTGCACTACCTGAAATGCGCTTGCGTGTGAAACTCCGTGAGAGATACCCCTCTATCTCAACCCCCATACCCTTTTCTCTGCTCTCACCCATGCCACATACAACTACGCAGCTACGTGGCTCCGATCTATTGCTCATTTGATAGCGAATACTGATTGAACGAGAAACCCTGCGAGACCGATAACCTCCTCGTTCTATTCCTTCTCTCTTTACCCTTCCCCCACCACCCCATCCCTTTTCTTCCTCTTTTTCACATAACTATATATAATATCTTGATATATATTCACGATAAATTTTGATAAGATGGATCGTCAAACTTTAGACGAGATTTCTTTATCGATCAATTTTTTTTTTTCCCGAACGGGATTCAATTTCTTTTTATTTGTTTTACGAATATATGATATCGTAGATAAACGTATTTAAAAAAAAAAAAAAGAAAAGAAAAAAACAGTCTGTGATCAAAGTACTACGTGGTTTGAACGTCGATCGAAGATCGAGATCTCTGAATAGTGACATCAAATAAGCTTAATCATAGATAGAGATGAACGAAAAGGGGTTAGAGAGAGAGAGAGAGAGAGAGAGAGAGAGAGTGAGGGAGAGAGAGAGAGAGACGGACAAGCACGTTCGTTCTACGGTAGACGTAGCGTAATCTGAAAACCAATCATACGGGCTCCTAGCACAATGCGATCCTCTTCGTCTCTCTTCCACGTTAACCTCCTCTTGCTCTTTCCCATTTTGAACCGAATCCGATTTCCGCTATCTTCTAGAATTGCGGATTTCCATATTGTACCTGTATATTAATCCGTGGCTTTGACCGGAGTCAGGAAAGGCTGATGAAGTTCGAATGCCGTACTGTCCAGAATGAGAGAGACAAAAAGAGAGAGAGAGAGAGAAAGAGAAATTGAGAGAAATTCTCTAGAGTTAGAAGATTTCGAGATGTGACTTCTCTTATATGACAAACTCGGAGAACCCCAAGATAGGAATGAAAGAATTTCAAGTTGAAAAAAAGATTAAAAAAAAAAGTAAAGATATTTCACAGTTTGTGTTTTTGTATAGGCCAATAAGAGAACTTTGAAAAATGAAACAAACTGCTTAGCTTGTAGGTACATTAAACTTTCCTAAGTTAATTTCTTTCGTTAAAGCAAATTAGAAAGAGACGAGGCTAACTTATGAGAGAATAACGAGAGAAAGAGAATAAGAGAGAACGGGACTAACCATTTTACTTCATAGAAAAGAATATTCTCTGTTATTTCAAATTTAACAGATTAAATGAACATTCTTTTAATTAGACAAATATTTTACTCTTTAAAAAACACATCATTTTTAGAACGTATCCCTACTTTTTTCTTTTTTTTAATTGGTTTTTTCTTTGTATATAGGATAATGCTTATAATCTGTGTAAACGTAATAATGTGATATTTCATAAAGGAGAAAAATACTGATACGGTAAAAGGATAGCAATTTGGTTCATAGCGAATGCTCAGAAAGCTCTACGGATTTCGTAAATGCTTTTTTGATCCGACAAACGGTCGAGCCAATCGACGACGACTATAGGGGGGCTGAGACCATATTCTCCCTTCCTCTCTCTCTCTCTCTCTCTTTATCTTTTTGAATATCTCTACGTATATA